GGGATGAGTGCGCGAGTCTTATTGTTGGTGATCACACAAGTGAAAGCACATTTTCAATTTCAAATTGGGCGAAACGAAATCTAGACGCATTCAAAAGCGTGACGTGTTGACACATCATCAGTGCCATTTTTGTATTCAGCGGCATTGTCCCGCAAAGTCATTTGTAAAGGGCTATAGTTTACCATTGTCTGTGGTGTCAAAGCCTTATCCAGGTTAGAGAGTTTAATTCTGCTCCAGTTAGGCTCTTCCAGTGACCTATTTGCTCTGAAATAAAACTACAAAACAATCGGGGGGTGACAAACAGCAGCGGCTAATGTGAACACAGCATAATGCGTGTGCTAGAATGAGCTTATGATTACAGGCGTATTACTCAGGACAATTTGCCTCGGGGGACCACCTGTAAGGACTATTTTTTTTCCACAGAAACCTCCACAAAACTGCCAGACCCATGACCTGCCCCTTCTCTGGGTGGTGGCAGCTCCAGCAGCGGTTGGCATGGTCCAGTCCACTCAATAGTACTAACAGGCAGGGACACTGACAAGGCACAATTACATCTGTTTGAGGAAACCCACACCCCTGCATCAGCGCAGTATCCATGCAACCGGGCTGGGGCCCAAGCTGGCACTCGTGGACAAACAAGCCCCATTAGGTTGACATCCTATCTCTCATTCTGCACAATGTCTTCCTCTGCATCTTTATTTGCTGGAATATCTCCTCACGCTTTGTACACGCAAACCAGGTGTTCACGGGAGACTCATAATCTTAAAGCAGTAATGGCTAAAACAGCAGTACTCTGGATGATACTGATATGGCGAGCGCTGAAAGCGGAGGAAAACCCCTGACGGGAGTTCAAACGGCACAAATATATGACGCTACGTGCATCATCTGCGAGATCTAAGGCAGGAAAATCAGACGGCATCACTAAAGAACCTCATTATCATGCAAATGCCATTTATTCCATTTTATCTCAACCTTCTCAATAGCCCATATGGCAGCGAGTCCGCACAGAGGAAGACACAGGGAGACCTCACGCTGGGCAAGCGGCCACATCAAAATTCCTCCATCTGTGGTCAATTGAGTTTGTGTGCGGGTGTGTGCGCATGCTAGTACCTGTCTTCAATCCACCTGTGTTGGTGCTGGCCCCCATATCACAGCCAAGATGCTGAACCACTGATCCCTGAAAGAGTGATTACTGTCTAGGTTGGACCGGACGTAACGGGATTGCTGGTCAGACTTGTGTCCTAAGAAGAGAGAGGGGGCCTATCACGGGTCCCAGATGACTCATGGCCAGGGTTCTGGGGCAGCGGGAGGTTAAACTATTTATGTTATGTGACTCCAGGTGTGTGCTGGGGCTCACAATACAGTCACCGGCTTTGGCTCATGTTGACAAAAAATATATATAAAAGAAAAAAAGACTTGTTTTTTTTCTTTAAAAAAAACAATTGATGGAAACAAATGAAAAACAATGTTGAATTAAATCAACCCAAGTCAGCTCAGGGAGTAAAGATGCCCGATGTCATCTTGTACGGCTGATATTTTGTACAAATGAAAGATGGGTTCTACTTTTTTTTTTTATACTGATGTCGCTTTATGGGGTCTCAAAATTATGTAATGCATATATCAAAGGCATAAAAATGATTCATTTTCTCAGTGAACCAATCATTATTAAATACTGTAAATCAGTCTGACATCACCACTAATCAAAATCCGCAGTGTCGGAGTTACACTTGATGGACTGATGGGGCACACACAGCCCAGTCATTGGTCTTCCTCTGATTTCACTGTCGATGACAAATTCTGCATCTTGACAGCAACCAGACATACAAGATAAGCAGTTTTCATGCTTTCTGAAGCAATCAATTTAAAGGGAATTACAGAGCTCAGTGATTACGATGAGAGTCTATTAAAGTAAAATAGCACTGTAATCAAAATGATTTAGAGATTTGGGGTGTGATGCAACAGCCTCCACTGCAAATAAATACATGCATGTATGCAGGTGCACACACCCACACACACACACACACACGCATGCATGCACATGCATCTCCAATGGACAAACATTTCTGATGAGATTAACTAACAGTTGTGCAATGTGCGCGCTACACGCGTGAACATAAGAGTGGAAAATACACATGGGGAAACTGAAATGGAGTGCACTCTAACACAGCCTGAAGACAAGAATTAGAAAAAGTGGGAGGAGGGAGCAGCTGCTCAGGCATACGAAAAAAGGAACTCCAGAAATTAATTGCTGCAGATCAGGCAGCATACATGTCATATATCAGGAATTTTATTACTGTAGTTTGAATCTACTCTTAATTCCGAAGCCAAGAACCATAAGGGAATATGTTGATGTCTACTTCACTGAACCAGAGAGACTTGTTATAGACCACAGACACACTTTCCTTTTTGCTACCCAGTCCAATAAACCAAGGTCATATTACTTCAGTCTGCGGGAATCTTCAAAGGGGAGCAATCCTAGAACAGCATTTAGCACAAAACACCACCACTGGATATAGACTAATAATTAATCATACCCACTTCTGGCACTATTATCCTTAATAGCAGCGTCCTATAAATAAAGAAACTGCACGAACTGGGATGCAATCAAACTGAGATTCCCACTGAGGCCACACTCAAAAAAAGTTGATCTAATACTAGTTTAATATAGTAAAGGACTGACTGAAACCATAATTATATTTAACAGCCAAACGAAAATGGACTTTGTTCTCCACTGAGGGCCAATGACAATCTTTCAAAATGGAGATTCGCTCGTGTCAGAGTTCAACTTGTACAACAAAACACACATCCATGTCAATATTTCCGAGGCCCAGTGATGCAAAGGCTGACAGTCAGAGGTTCATATATAGTGCTTTATCCAACTTAAATGGAGTGACACATCATGCTCACCTCCCCATTTTTTGCCTGTCAGTCATCTTTACTGCAATGAATAAAGCTCTGCACCAGTACAACCTGACACTCTGTCACTCAAACGCTTTTTAAAAAAAGACTTCACGTCACCATTCAGGTGGAGCAGGGGGAGGAATTCCTCTGTCTCATTTGATTTTTCCGTCTAATCTTTCATTTTATGTGGGCTCGCTGTTATCTCCCTGAAGTGGGAATCACATTTTAATTAGGTCTATCCTTGGTTAGCAGTTCATCTTTGCATCTCCCTGTCCTATGCGCTCATCCTATGGGCTTTGCCTCCTTGTCAGAGACTGTTAGTCCCCGCTCCCTGTCACAATCTAACATCTCCCCCCATCTTGTGCCACCTTTTCATTCTTTAACTGCTCCATCTCCACTCACAATCTTGTTCTCCCACCGCTGACAACAAAGAGCGCCCTGTCTCACAAAAACCTGTGTTCTGCAGATGGGAAAAACACAATAAACAGCTGCAACAATGGGAGAAAAAAAGAAAAAGAAATTGCATATATTACATATCCTAAGAGCAGAGAGAAAATGGAAATAGTCAACTGTTGGTTCGTGGGCTATCAACAGCTAGTTCGTGTATGGAGTGACTAAATCTATCTATTAAATAGGATGTTAAGCAATCTTTGACCTCTTTAAGACCAGAGGGAACCGCCGTATTGGCAAGACTTCTCCTGCTGCAAACCCAACCACCCACTCAGTTCCTGAACTGTGGTGTCACTAAATGACACAAACAAATAAACATTTGCAGCAGAGATGAATAAACCAACTAATGAGACCAAACGAAAATTGTCTAGTAAAGACGCAATGCATCACGCTGCAAGAAGCCATACTAATAATAGAACTTTATCATCTGCTGCTTTGGCGTGACGGTGACACATTTTAGCCTTTGATCCTGCAATGTTTTGCAACTTGGGAGTGCTTGAGCTTGAGAATAGGCTTTTTTTCTCCCCCTCTTCCTCTCTTCGCTTACAACAGCCTCTGCACTCATGATGTACAGTCCCACTGATAATAGATACATCTGTGTCTTTCTCACTCACCGTGTGACAGCATAACTGTCAATGTTGATTAGCAGCTCTATCGGGTCCTCGCGTGATACGTTTGCCGGTTTTTGCGCGGGGCAGTAAAAGCCTGACTGTTTAAATCCATACCTTATAAACTGAACCGTGCAGCCTTTTTTTTTTTTTTTTGGAGATGAAACCACATTAATACCGGCAACTAATGATATGCAAATATGAAGAGAAGGGCGAGACGTTGGGAGTTGAGCAGAGAAATATCACCATTGCTAAAGTGTCTGGGTCCAGAGAGCGGTGCAATGCGAAATACTATAATACCTGGAAATGCACCATGTGAATCACTTATCATAGCGTGTTACAAGACAGGTAATGGATTATGTTTGGCAGCTTAAGGCAGCAAAATTGTTATTATGATACACAGTTCACAGAATGGCAGTTTAGCTTTGGCTATGAATTTTGTTTTTTTTTTTTCCTCCTTCCTAATACGGACCTACGCTGAGGCCATCAGCGTTCAGCCCGTGGATTGATTACTGGGCCTAGAAATTATGGCACCTGCACACCTAAGCTGCAGCGTCCAACTCGAAGCAAGGAAATGCTTAGAGTAAACACAGTGTTGTCTGCACAGATGTCATGGTTCAGATTTATTTAGAGGGCAAATGCTCCATTAGTTGGGCTTTTTAATTAGCACACTTGTGAGAGGAGGGTCATTAAGGATGTCTGACAGAGGACCTGCTGATGAGGGGGATGGAGGCTCTGCTTACTTCGGCCCTGACACCGCCACACACCTACACACCTACACACACACACACACGAGCACTGATCTGCTTAAAAACCAATAACATTTCACACAGTCATCGACAAACACAGCAAGTCAACGTCACGGGTGCCACAACATTTCCACTCCGAAAACGGCCACAGCGCACAAACAAATCTCCCACAAATGTCTCCATCAACCAGCAACACCACACACACACACAACAAGGGCCTATTAGAGCCATTTACATTTAAATAAATATTCATAAAGCGAGGAGCCAGAATGGTGGGGGAATGTCATTGTACCGTTTTCCGGGTGTTCGGTTTCTCCAATGCTGCCATCTGGAGTGGTTCTCTCATAGTGGTCCTCAGGCAGGGTCAGGGGTCCGATGCGGGGACCAGACGATGACTTGCTGCTGGGAGTCTCCGATTCCTCCAAGCCGCTGTCATAGTAGCTGTGCTGAGAGGCATCCTGCAGGTCCTGCACAGGATTGGTGGTGGAAAAGGTCACTCGCCGATGGGGATGCTAAAGAACAGAGAGACACAACAAATGGTTTTCTTCAGCAATTTTTTTTTTTTTTACGACTACATTTTTCAGCCACACTTTTTCCTCTTTTTTTTATTTCCTGACACATCTGCTGTGTAAAAGTTACGGCTTCAAACTCGCCCATTTAAGACTACTGTCTGAAATTAGCTGGCCTTATAAAGTTCACTCTTCAAAAGTCAGAAAATAGTATTAAATATTAAACACTCTTTAATATTAAACAGTCTTTTGCACTATTATTATTCCGAGGATTATATAAGGTAGAAGTATATGAACGGGGGGTGAGGTTATTGACTTCAATAATAAGAGGGTGCAAATTAGCAGCAGCGGAAAATGAGACAAAAGCAGAATATATTCCAATGCTGTATCAGTAAGTTTCGATATCTAAATGTGGGGCATGCATTTAAATATGCTGTATGATGCCGTCCTCCCTGTGAAAAGAACCATCAAACGCTGAAAGTGCACGCGGTATATAATGACTATACATGTTCAAAAACTTCTACAAATGCCACATTTTTTCATACAGAGAATTACGGTGTTTTGATATTCTATGTAACGTCCAACTTTTTCTGCCATAGCTAAGAAAATAAAGGAGCAGGTTATCAATGCAGGGTGCAAAATGCGAAGGCGTGCGTTTCATTTTCCATCTTATCGAGAGCTCCAGATGAAGGTAAGCACAGGATAATAACAATAATAATGTGCAAATGCCATGTGCATTATAGTTAGCCACTTTAACAGCTCGACAAAAGTAGATGAATATGTACATTTCTATGTATAAAGAGATTTCTATGTACTGTATGGATGAACTATCTATACATTTATATGGACACGAAGGCAAACATCATATAAAACAACAGAAATTGAGAGCATAAAAAGTATTCTAATTGCAGTTATTATCATTATTAGTCAGACAAAAGTTTTATTTTCTACATCTGCCACTGCCAAATGAATTCTGATGACAATGATTGGTACACTAATCAGTAGCCCCAGTGAGCTACTTCCTATCTCCATATTTTAATATTTCTCTTTCCCCAGCTTTTGATGTTTAACTGAGCAGAAAGCTAGACAATATTTCCGCAATTTAACTAAAAAGGAATCCCCAAGAAGATCTAAATAAGACTAACAAAAAAAAAAAGAGAGAACAAAACACAACACTGGAAATACGTAGTCTGTGACAGGCGCCGTTTTGCCTGCATTAGAATGTGTCATTAGATCTGCTTTCGCTGTTTTATGCTGATGAGAGCTGATGAAAGAAAAAGGCAAAGGAATGAATGAATGAATGAATGAATGAAAATACGGATGAAATCTTAAATTCGATAGCTTGAAGAGGAGCAGAACAACATATAATAAATCATTGGAGATCACACCCTTTATCAAATTGAATGGCTTGTAAATACAGTTAGGAGACCATTAAATTTCCTCTTCCAAAGATCAGTTTACTAATGGCTACTTACCACCGATCCACAACAGAAAGATGACTCCTCACAGTGCACATGCAATCACACTCCCCCTCTCTCTCCCTCTCCCTCCCTCCCCTACACATGAGCACCTCTCGTAAAAGTCAGGAAAGCACTGATACAGCAGAACAGGCCTGCCTCTGCTACACGAGTCAGCCCCGATCAATACCACGGGTCTGCTCTTTCTACCATTCAACCACTTTTCTGGCAAACAAATCCATGCTAGAAATCATTCAAACCATCAGCTTTTTTAGTACATGCACACCAGATATTGAGAAATGCTTTTAGAGCGCAGGTAAGTGCAATCAACACCGTGTTCTTAATACCGTTACCGAGCGTCCAAATGTTTCCAGAAAACCGTTCATCTCCCCTGTCATCGCGACCTGTCATATTTTGTCTCGCTGCACAAATGCATCTCTTGGACCTTCGTCTGAATAACGTTTATTAGAGTTCTGGAGTGCACCGTGTTTTCTCCCGGCAGTGCTAGTACACCACCGCATCAATAAATCATATATAAGATAGAGGCAACAAAAAAAAAAGAAGAAGAAGAAGAAGCTGCCTTTAACTTCTTGGTTATCTATATCATATAATAGAATGTGAGCTAAAACATTTTAAACTTGCTCGACACAATAAGAAAACAGTGACATTTTATGCTTTTTGTTTCACGTATTGATTCGTATCAGAAAAATAGGGCAACGGGGAGGTTTGTTTTCTTTTCATTAGCCATGCTCTTTGATTGGTACATCTGCACACAAAACATTTCTTTTTCCAGCTATGTGTGCAACTGGAAACGCAAATTAAATACGCACTGTGTATCATACTTGAAATGCATTTAAATTACGCTAATTAATCTAATCTAACTTTTCTGAATGTGCCACAGCGCTGGGAAAATAGATTAATGGTAGTTCTCAAAACAGAGCTCCTCCATCGTATCAGGTGGCGATGAGTCCTTCTACCGTCACTCCAGGGGTGTTGGAATAAACTTGCTGTTGACTCATTTGCCTGGATCTGATAAATTATATATGCTAATGGTGCATTCTTTAAACTGGCCGCCTCGTAGTCTCCACAACTATTCTAATGTGAGAGGGGCATTTAGTTGTTCAAATATGGATTCTTGCTTAAACTTCTCCTCAAGGCATCACTCCAGAGAGTCAGCATGTTTCCTGAGTATGATAACTAGCTAAGGCTGTGGAGATGGGAAATAGATTCTCCTTTTAGTCAGAGCACAAATCCTTTGCCAGGCCTTGGGGGGCTGCAGGGATGTGGCAAGACGGAAGGATGGAAGGGGAGGCTGAGCAGGAACGGGGAGCTGGTCAGGCAGACACGAACGGCGCTTTGGCTGCAGGGGACAAGCAGAAGGATAAGATTCTGGGAGACTGGAGGCGGGAGAGAGGAATTGTTTGGGCATTGTTGTAGGAGTAAGAAGCTATGGGGCTGAGAATGAAAGAGGGGACATTTATGATGACATCTGAATTCATGACCCCATTTAGAGTGGGCTAAAATGGCCTCGTTTATAATAATGCAATCCCAAAGCAGATGGAAAGATACGGCAGGATTCTGTCTTTTCAAGAGAACCAAGACACATTTGAAAGTAGCAATAAACAGCAATCATCCTCTGCCTACCTAAAGCCTCATGCTTTTTTTTTTTTTGTGGTCAGACTGCCAAAAATATCCTCCATAATTTGCTTTTTCATCATAATTTAAAGCCAAACATGGTTACAGATAAATGCTAATATCCTACACTGATAGAGAAAGATGCTGGCAATTAAATAATGATGCCGTTATTTCCCCCTTTTATTACTGTATGCATGACATGACCATGGTCAAGTGTGAAATTAATAGTGATCAAGTGTGCTATTTTGCTGCATACAATTCCTGTTTATACTGTAGCAAGGCAGCAGTCCTCCACCGCATCACGTTAATGAAAACAGAGAAGAAAAAAAAATGAAAAAGAGAACAGCTGCTCGTGTATGTCCACCTGTTTACCTCAAGCTACTCAAGGCTATAGATATTACACTTATCTGCACCCCGACCACCCTATCAGCTTACAGCTGGGATGCTTTGAACCTAACACACTTGAAAAACAGCACACAGAATGACAACCTGTTCCTATATTTCCTGTCTGCCATCTCACAAAAGGTTGACATTTTTTTTCCGGAAACCTCCAGGTAACAGGATTCCTGTGGGATTCCTGCAGGATGGGAATCCATTTCACTATTCATCACATGACTGGGGCAGGACAGAGGGGGGAAAAATAAAGGAATGGGCGGAATTATAATGACAGTAGGTCAGATTTTCTACATAAATATGCAGTTTAAGTGTATAAATAGAGGCTATTTTCCTTCATTGTGAACATAATGTGATAGTTTGCTGTCTAATATTAATCTTTTTTTTTCCCAGTCGCCTCTGTGTGCAGTAGTGGCAGGTTGCAGGTTAGTTGCAGCCACCTGACCGGTGCATGACGTGCGTGGATTGATGACGCATGGTGCAGCCACCCATGGAGTCACAGTCAGATTCAGGAAAGACAGCATAGGGACCCCTGGCCAATGTGTTATTTATGTTTTTGCACTGTTTAGTGAAGGCATTTTTTGTGTGTTTGGACAATTTAATGCCGGTGAACCAAAAAACAAACAAACAAAAAAAAAACAGTTCACCTGAGTACAAAATAATCAAAGAAAAGTACAGAGTTGACCATTAAGATCATGAAATTACCCCGTGATGATTTTTTTTCTTCTTTTTTCTTCTCTAAAAAGGTTTTGGTAAGTTACGGAAAACAAACTTTTTACAAAGACGGCAAAATGGTAACTCTAAATGTTAGGTTTTTGGGGGTTTTTTTATGTCTAAATGCAGAAATTCAACTAAAAGGGAGCCTTTTCCTCGAATTTTTAGAGGACAAAATGCCAAATTAAAAGGTCTTATCAGTAAAAACAAACAGCAAGGAGAAAAGGTACGCTGAAAGCCTTTTGATGTGCCTGAGTTTGAGGTGGTTATGTAAGCTCCGGGTACTCACTGTTAATTAACAGAACTATTGATGTAACATAAAAACGTCTATACGGAAAGACATTTGAGTTCATGAGCGCCGTACTTTCTCTCCGTCTCATCCTTCCATTGATTTGCCTAAGCCAACATATAGCACACACACACACACGGTACAGTATACATCTCGTAGGTTGACTTGTAAGGATTGGATTGCTTTTATGTGATAAATTGGTGAATATATCAGATGAAGCATATCAAATATCAGCCATGCGCAACAACATTATGACATAACTTAGCTTGAAAGGAGGACTGCTTATGTTTGAACTGATAAAGAGTGAAATATACTGAAGGAGTGCATTTTGGGTTAGGTTAAGACTGGCAGGCCATATTACATTTTTGGCACACTGCGCAGAATAAATATTTCATTCATCAAATAAGATTTAAACCAAATTCCTGAGGGGGTGTTGAGATCTGATTTAAAAAAAAAAAAAAAAAACTGGCTTTCACACTATCCCTCATATCAATTTCTATTTGACACATAGCAGT